GTAAGGTTACATTTTTATCTAGTCAAGAAATGATTGATTATCATTTTTTAAGTGTAGAACATATGACATTAAAGTGTTTTGATGAGTTATGTTCAGAAGCTAAGATAAACTCTGAAAAAATAAATTTATCAGAAGAATCAAATAAAAGTAATGAGAATAATTTGTCGGAAGACGTTCTAAAAATATCAACAACTAATTTAGTAAAATTGCCATACATAATATTAACAAGATTTCAAAATATCAATGAAAATTGTGGTTTATGTAAATTATGTAATGCTTCATTAATTTGGAACAGTAAAATTATAGTAACACATTTGTTRGAATGTAAGTACACATATGTTTTAACAGATTCAATCAAAACAACTGTAAAAACATTTGATTGTAATGTATGCAATCATTCTACAAATTGTATGGATCAGCACAAATTACATATTATGTCACATTCACATCTCACTAACTGCTATGATACTAATAATTATTATTCATACTTTTGTGATGTATGCAATAGATATATTTATAGTTATAGACTCGTTATTCTCAATCATATTAGAGTGTGTCATAAAGATATTAAGACAACAGAATTTCCTATGTTTTCTATATTTATGGCAAATGTATTCAAAGAGTTAAATACAAATGCAAAAGCAAATAGAGTTGAATTTATACATTATCCCAGTACTAGTAAACCTATAGTAGTTTTTAAAACAGACTCATTTCAATGTAATACTTGTAAAATTATATTTGATACAATCACTGATTATAATTGGCATTTAATTACAAGTGAACATATTATTTTGAGTTTTGTTATCCCRAAAGCTATGAAGAAAAGTGAAAAAATAAAAAAATTGAGTACAACTAACATACAAACCAAAAAATCAAGTATAAAAAAGAATGTTACAGTATCTCAAAAATATGATGACATTAAAAATGAAGATACTCAAAATGAGCAATTAAATAGAAGTAAGTTCTTTAAAATAGCCTATTCTTTTAACAGATTACACCCATTCTCATTAAAAGTATTAATATTCTTGAAAATATATGTGTTTTCATATCATTAGAAACAACATATTTTGGTGATACCTTGAACGARTGGTTAAATATGTATTAGTAGCAAAGTGGGTAGTTATTTAAAGTAATGATAAATGATTTAAAAAAGTTGGGGTAATGTTTGAAAACTTTAAAAAAATTAATCAGTACTTACCATTTATGTATTTTTATTGAAATTTAAAAGAATAATTATTAATTAAATATGATTCAAATAATATAAAACATCTTAATTAAATTTAAACTGTCAATTATCAAGTTTAAGTAATGGTGTATTATTTATTAAAGTAGTGTACTAGAATCTAGGGAGATATAGATAAACAGTTAGGCACAGTTAATTTTTTAAACATGTGTAGGTAATTAATGAATAGGATAGTAGTGTAACAATTCATAATTTAAAAATTATTGCTTTAAGTTAATTAGAAAATATAGATTTATAATGTTTGATTTTAGGTCTAACCAATCTTGATGTTGATGGAAGGACACACTTGTGTAGTATAAAAAAAGTTCAGGTATTCGTATAGTTTTATAAAAGTTTATTATACTGACATTTTTTTAACAGAAACTAATATTAACATGTTCCTTTATTTTTAAAATTAACACTCTATTTTATAAACATTATATAAAAATTGTACCTAACTATAATTATTTATCTGTAATTTGAATAAATTAATTTGAGCCTTTAATTTTTTGATATTTTTAAATGATTGACGTGGTTTGATTAYTATACTTTGAATAGTTAGTTTAATTAATAATGTAACAATTCTCATTTTTTGGTTTGTACTCATGTGTCATGTGTGTGGAATTTAATTTGATTAACATGAATAATAAATAAATTTATTATAATTTTCAGAAGTCTCTTGTAAACAATAATGTTGAAAAATTGAATGATGTACAAAAAGACAGTAATAAGTCTATCGAACATACAAAGTTGATATCAAAWCACAGTAAACATCGGCAACAATATTCAAATTATTTTATACATAAAATGATTTTATTGAAAAAGTTGAGACAATATGATGATCTTGTCATGAAAACTTTGTCATACTATTGTGATGCTTGTGATTTTATAGCTATAGAAAAATATGTGTGGGACAGGCACAATCAAAAAGAACATCCTGTAGATAGACCTATAACTTATTGTTCTACATGCTTTATGTTAGTTGGTGGAAACGAGCAAGAACACAAACAAACGAAAGAACACCTTTTGAACTTTTCACAATCATTTAAAGAAAAAAAGGAAGGAAATGAGTTAAACGATACTGATTGCTTCAAAGGTAATAATTTATTATAATAATCATATTTGTCAAGACATTTTTTATACTTGATTAATATTACCTAATTTTAAAAATTATTAAATATTAAGCATTGCTGGGAAGATACATTTTTTTATATGTTTGTGTTTTTCAAATTTTAATATACCTATTCCTGACCAGTAATCAATTTTTGTATTCTTCTGACAAACCAAAGAATAAAATTTAAAATTTAAAAAACATAATTTTATTGTTTGAAAGTAAGCAGATGTCAGGAAACCCTATTTACTAAATATACAGTCTCATGTCAAGTATAGTTGACATATTAAGTTTTTGAAGATTTCCCATGTGTTAACTGGATGTTGACTATGGCCATAAATGCGTGGACCACTCATATTAATCTGTTGTTTGTT